CCCTAACTACCTGCAAAAGGGGTTTCATTTATATTCATAGCTATAACTCCAAATAGTTGGTTTTGAAGCATCTTGTGTTTATCATATTGCTATTTTAACTAGCTAATAGCATCAAAAACTATATTTTCTGGAACGTTTAGGGCTGATGAACCTTCTTATTGGCAAAAACCTCAATCATCATTTCCATAGTGCCTTATGAGTTTAGGAAACCACTATTTTTTTGTAAAGGCTAACAATAGCAACACAGATATCTATGACGTAAATATCTCATCTTGAAAGGTCCAAAAGGTGGTCTTAAAGCATTTAGACCGTTGATAGGCAAAAAGGTTCTTAAATAAGGATGGGGGATTTTATTGGAATGGAAAAAAGTAGTTCGAATAAAGTTTTGCAAGCGTCGAGGAAAGTGCACTATATTGTTGTTACTGATTATCCTGTCTCTCTGGGTTGCAGGTTTATTATACACAATTTTTTTAGCGGTGTTCACCAGTGCCTTTGCCATCGCTTTTCCAAGTGCACTTGCTGTAATCTGGTCTAGAATTGGAGTGTTGTATGAGGCCTGTTGGTTAGGTATCTGAGGTGATACAGGAGAAACATTTGCTGTATTGGGAGGCATCGGTGGTGAATTCGCAGGGCTATTTTGAGGTGGGAATACTTGCGGTTGAGGTAAAGGTGGTGCGTTGGGAGAATTAGGCTGAGATAGCACGGGCGGTGTGTCGGCAACATTAGGTTGAGATAACAAGGACGGTGCATTGGCAAGATTAGGCTGAGGCAGCACGGGTGGTGTGTTAGCAGGATTGGGTTGAGGTAATACGGGCGGTACATTACCAGGATTTTGTTGAGGCAAGACTGGTGAAAGACTCCCAGGATTTTGCTGTGGTAAAAAAGGTGAGACATTCAGACTAATAATCTGCTGTTCGCCGGGACCAATAAATTTTCCTTGTTTGAGAACCGGGTTGAGAGGAAGAAGTGGCGAAGTGGTTGGATTAACTATTTCAACTTTCAGTGATGATGCTGTAGGAAGGAATCTCTTCTGAGGATCCAGACCCTTGGGTAAGTTGAGCGCAGCACCTAAAATCTCTGTAAGTTTCTGTTCCTCAGAAGGCTCACCGTTTTGGCTGACTATTTTTGCAATCGCTTGAGTAAGAGCTGATGTTAACATCTGTGGTGGCTGCTTTTGAGCCTGTACTTGTAATGCTGCCTGGGAAAGAGCAGATGTAATAAGGTCAGGCTGTGATTGACTCAAAGATGATTTAAGGGCATTTGACAGCAGATTTGAGAGGGAAGAAACGGGAGACATTTGATTCGCATTGAACGGCCCCATTAATGGGTTATTGGGTCTCATTAAGCCTTGCTGTAATGTAGAAATAAATCCTGGTGTTTCTTGAAAAGGTAAACTGTTTGGAGGGACATTCCAAGGTGGATAGCCATAAGGATTTCCGTTTTGTGACATCATTTCCTCGATGGACAATGGATTGTACGGTGGATTACGCATACCGAGCATCGACGCAACCACCGAAGGTGTGTTCCATAAAGGAGGGCCTTGCAAGGGTCTTTGTAGTGGCGTGTTTGCTAGCAATGATAGCTGGGAATTCATTTCTTGTGCCTTTTGAATCTGAGACACAACTTCGCCTACACCAGATGGTGGATTTGTCGGAGGCACCTGAATGATGACTGGCCTCTCTTTTTGATGTTCTTCTCCGATATTTAAACTCAAATCTATCTTGGTCACATTAGACTCCTCTAGTTCTTTAGGATGATTCAAAGGAGGCGAAGGTTTCTGCACTATTGGAGGCATCGTGGGTAGTACCAAATTAATATTAACAGGTTGAGGTGTAGGGTGTGTGGTGGAATGAGGCGTTGGTGTAGGAATTGGTGGTTTAGGAGAAGGTGGTATTTGTATTGTTGAAGATGCTGTAGCTGTAACGACAAGTGGTATAGCTGTTACTGGTATATGCTGCTTCGTTACCGAGTTCCTATTTCCAAGTTTACTGATACTAATCTTTTTCTTGTCGTCATCTGGTAGAACATTATTAGGAGGAAGAGCGATATATGGTAACGCTGAAACCTCGGAATCAGCTTCAGATAACTGATCTCTTGCCACTAGACTACCTTGTTTTACCACCATTTTGGCCTTAGTTTCAGCATAAGATGTACCTGAAGTAGAGAAAGCCACACAATTAAATAAATCCAGTATTTTTAAATCTTTTTTATAGAGATCATAATTGACTTCCCTTCGTTTAACTACGTAATCACCATCGCGAATGCATGGAGAGTAAGTTGGTTCCTATTTTTTGCCGGTGCACTTGAAAACATCTACTTGATAACAAATTAATAATGACAAAAATGGTATTGAGTTTGGCCAGTTTTCAGCATCCAAAATGTGTACGTTTTGTATATTTACAAAAACTTTTAAATAACCGAAGCGTTGGTATTCTCCAATTTAACTGGTCAAACACAAATAATTCATCCAAGGCTGCAAGGTTCAACTTTGAAAAATCCTTTCAATATACTCTACACTCTTAGTGTGTTGAATGCTTTATAGTTGAACAGTGAACCGATGTATGGAAAGTTGGGTCAATAAGCTATAATAAGTTCAAGTGTGTTGAAGTAATTTAAAATAAATCCTTTCATACCTGTATTAAAAGCTGCCCTCATATTTTTCTCTGGCAATCCTTTTCTTGAAGTTCTCGACTTTACCATGTCATTCTGTTCTTTCTGACTTTCGTAGTTTTTTGAAGGCGTTAGGAATTCATGTTGATGCTTCGTACCCTTCTTCCCTCGTAAACCCTTAACTAAACCTCCATTGATAATCATGCTAGAAATCACTACCACCAACACAACGTTGCATCCATTCATGACTTCTTGTAAAAAGGTAACGCTGCTATCTCGAAAAGTACATGGAAACTTCAGTCCATCCCACAAGAATTTTAAAAGAACGTCAAAAACAATGAAAAGACAGAGTATCCACTGAATACAGCTAACTGCTCTCTATGATCACTTGTCAGTTGATTGAAAATTACACATCATTTCACATTGGAGAAGCTTTTGGTTATTACGTAAATGTAAAAATAAATCTGGTCCTTCCTATTCAACATGAACGTCCCTCGACAGGTGGTTCGTAATCACGTGTTTATTCAACAGTGGAAATGGCCCTTATGTCACACAGACTTTATCACATTATACGTTAATAGTAAGAATATATTATCAAATTTTGGGGCTCACGAAGAATTTTTGTATAAAGTTTTTTTAGTCAAAACACACCACTTTTTTAACTCAAAACAATAGAAACATGTCATCTTTAAAGATAAACATTCCACTAGTAAGTAATATTTAATTCATTAGTTGTGACCCGTTATATATGTTATATATATTGCTTTTTTTTTTTTTTTTTGYTTCGAATTTTTTTTCCAACAAAAAAAAACGTTATAGGAATATTATTATACATTATCGTGCACACACCATTAGGAAATATAATCAATTTTAGCTAATACTAGAATAATGCATAGGGCAAAAACGGAGCGTAATTGTTTACGTTTCAGTAATAATAGAGCACCAGACGAGTAGTTGGTTTACTAGGTCATACACATCATAGTCCAGTAGTTTAGTCAGTTATGAACCGTCGGTAAAGCACAAATGTCGCTAATTTATTCAAGGCTTAAAAATGATATTTTGATACTAGATCCTTTTGGTATTTTAAAAAATGAGAGTTTTCTTTGGAATTGTCGTTATACTATCGATAGTGCAAAGCATAGATGCAAAGACTATTGCCAAAAAGAAACAGCATGGACTCCAGCACAAAAAAATTGCAATTAGCAAGACTCCCTCGACAAATACAACAAAATTGAATGATGTTAAATCAAGTCAAAACAAAAATGGTGAGTTTGTATTCGTTTGCGGAGAATATTGAGGAGTGTTTTATATGACTACATCATTTGTAGTGTTACAGGCCAAGCGCGTCATTTACAATTGGAAAATAAAAGTCTTCGTTCGTTAACGAAGCTTGTTTTGCTTTCCTTCTTTTTTGTAATAAAAATTTTTTTAAATCTCCTTGTCTGACCTTCTATATAATTTTTGCTTTGCCAGAATATCATGACATGAAAGAGGGCCCAAAAGAAACCCTCTTTGCTCGTCGGAGTGACATCAGTGGATCACCTAAAGGTGTCGTGGTAAAACTCAATGGTCAACAAGTTCTTTCACAGGGTAAAGAAATATCAGATAAATCGCCGTCCAGTTCATTGGTTGGAGGACAAAATGATGAGAATTCAAAGAAGTCACATAATCGCAATCACATTCAGCTGAATATCAATGTAAACAAGCAAAGCAAGGAAGCAGAGCATCCTAATATAATAGCAATGTCCCCCTCTCAGCAAGTAGCTAGTTTGCCTTCGGTTAATATTCCACAAGTATTGATTCCAAATTCTGTAGATCAGCTAGCGAGAGCACCCGTACTTCTCAACGTCGGGGTTCCCAATGTACATCAAGGAAGCCTTGTAAATGGCATTGGAAATCTGAATGGTGCAACCATAGGTTATCCTGGGACTGGACTTGCGAATACCATGACAAATGGAGTCATAAACCCTTTAAATGGCATTTCTACCAATAACATTAATGGTGGAATAGTTACCGGATCTATTAATCCCGCTGTGGGATATCCGAATAACGGGCAATCAGTGTTGTTACCTAATGGTGTCCAAGTACCTTTAGTAGATAATCAAGGGAATATTATACAAGGGAACGTTCAACAAGGAGCAACAAATAATGTACAGACCGTGTCAACGGCTAACGGGCTCCAGGTACCTTTAGTAAACAATCAAGGAAATGCCTTGTCGCCAGGAGCTCTACCGGGTTACCCGAACAATGGCCAGACCACATTAACAGCCAACGGTCACCAGGTACCTTTAGTAAACAATCAAGGAAATGCCTTGTCACCAGGAGCTATGGGATACCCAAGTAATAATGGACAGACTCTATTAGTAGGCAACGGTGCCCAGGGATCTTTAGTAGCAAACCAAGGAAACGCCCTACAACCAGGAGTTATGGGTTACCCAACTAATAATGGGCAGACCACATTAGGAGGCAACGGTAACCAGATACCTTTATTTGGAAACCAGGCAGGCACGCAGGTCATGGGACATCCTGGACTCACAAACAACGGTCAGAACACGGCATTGCTAGCAAATCCAACTCAGGGACCTTTGGTAGGAAATCAAGGAAACGTATTGGTAAATGGGGGTTCTACTGTGACGGGCAACGCTTGTTGTCAACAACAACAGCAGCAGCAGTGTGGAGCTGGATCCTGCTATCAGTGTGGGAGTGGAAATCAATGTCAAGCGTGTGGTGGTGGTGCAGGTTGCCATAGCAATCCTTTTGGGATAAGTACGTTTTGTCCTCATGATGTTGACGAATTTTTGTTTGACACGATAGAGTGTTGTAAATCTTTCCCATGTGACAGTAGTTCAAAGTCGACTGCTACTCCTACTACTCCGCCCACACAAAATCCTAACACACCCTTACCACCCAATACAGGAAGTAACCCACGTCCTCAATATCCAAATCAAGGCACATTTCCAATACCTGGAGCTGCCAATCCACAAGGTGCACTGCCTCCCCAACCTGGAGCTCAAGGTGCACCACCCAATCCTAATATCAGTCCTCTGCCTCCCCAACCTGGAGCTCAAGGAGCACCACCGAATCCAAACATCAGTCCTCTTCCTCCGCAACCTGTAGCTCAAGGTGCACCACCGAATCCAAATATCAGTCCTCTGCCTCCCCAACCTGGAGCTCAAGGAGCACCACCGAATCCAAATATCAGTCCTCTGCCACCGCAACC